CATGTAAAAAAAAAATGTTTTTATGTAGGTATGACGCGGATATTTGCTTAGAAAAATAAACGTAGTAAAAGTAGTGTGTCTGTGTTTTATTTCCCGATAATGAATACCTATTCTTTAATCCATAACATATTAAGTAGGGCTCATGGACTATCAGTATAGCTATTTCGTGTCTTTCTGTTGTGACAAAATCCGATAAATTCAAATAAATTTTGATGATAAGCACGGTGTTTCATTGTATTAGAGCATCGCCAGGACCTGCAGCGCGATGCGGTCGTTGTCAGTTTGGTTGGCGAGGGGCGGGCGGAGGGGACCGATAAACTTGAGGAGCGGGAAGTGGGGTAATGACGTAACGAGGAGTGGAGGGAGAGGGGAATAAGTCGGGTGATCAGATGTATGCGTGTGTGGTTTTGGAGTGATAACACCGATGCGCGGTCAGTGACTTCTATAATCAGGGTTGTTACAGTTAATAATTTTTTAAATTTTTATCGTCAAAAAATGCTTAGATTCGTATTTTAAAATTATGCCATTTGATTCAAAGTCTGATATATATACACGCCTTTAAATGTTACAACACCTTTCTGTAACACCCTGTATAAGTGATATAGTTGTAATACAATGTTATAAACTAGAAGAAAGGTGAAAAAAAAAATGTCACCTAATAATTTTAAAATGTCCAAACGTTTGATGTTATTTAATTGCGTGTGCGCATTTATTAATTAATCTTTGTTGTTATGCACTTGTGTTTGTGGCAGTATGAATTGCAAATTTCTTTGAATTGAGTAAAAGTGTGTTTAGGGTCGAGTTGAAGATTTCTCCGCTAAACTTACGACGGCTTGTGTTTTTTACAATGTGTTGGAAGCCATTAACTAATTTTTGCGATATTTTGGAAGCTATTAGTAAGGTAAGTTTTGTGTTTTAACTTTGCCTATTTCTAAACATTGTGTATTTGGATGTGTGAGCGCGGGTAATTTTCATATTCCATTTTGTATAGACTACTTTTGTATAGAATGTTATTTTTTTACCACATCAGATGTATGTAAAATTGATTGCATACGCGCAATAAATGTATTCTTTGTGTATTCCTGTTAATCCTGTCATTACCTTGATTAAAAAGCAAATAAAGAAAAAGTAAAGTTATGACAAATATATAACATAAATTTATGATGCTGTACCCATAGTTCTGTTAAGGTTGTTGTTATAATTTATAACAACAACCTTAACAGAGCTATGGCTTATATTTGGTTGTTGTGGTATGGTTATTTCCCTATTATAAAAACCTAATATACTTACGAGGTTTCCAAATAGCCTTAGCTTTGTACCCTAACATTAATTAGACATTACTGAAATAAATAGGTACAACTAATATAAGTTAATATAACTTTCTGGTTTATTTTCAGGTGTACCTGTTCAAATCTTTCCAAATCATTTGAATAACCCAACCCCAGAGCTCTTTAAAAAATGTGTTGAGTTAGCAGGTAAATCTTTTAGAGGCATGGTATTTGAACAGATCCATGAGAGCAAGAAAATTCCTGATAAATGCTTCTATGAAAATGTAAAAAACTACTACAAACATCTCAATTAACTGTAAAGTAATATAAAATGTATTTTGTAAACTTTATATAAATAGTAAAGTTGATATGTGTAATATTTTGCATGCTATATGAAAATTAGCATAACATGTGGTACAATATTATGAGTTGTACCATTAAATTAACACCTTGTGAAACCATACTTTAAGCAAATAAATAAATAAATAACTTAATAACTTTTGAACAGGGAGACCATTGCCCATCTGTGTGATATTATTATATATACGCTTTACTTTAACTTCTTTGTAAAAAAGCAATAATAAAGCTAAGCTTTCACTCTAATTATAAAATTTTTGTTGGAAACACACAATAACTAGTGAGTTTGATAAATCTATTGTATATAACCAGTTAACTTCCATACATTTTTAACCTTGAAGACTGCATTGACACAAATATTAATGAAACATCTCTCAGGATGATGTAAGAGAATTGTTATTTATTTTTTAATTTGTGTATCTTATTATTTTCAGCATCTTCAATAATTTTGGGAGTGTATATTGATAACATTTTACCGTCTACATATCAACTAACTGCACTACCCACAACAGGTAATTTTTTTTTATTTTGAAAGAAAATCCACAGTATTTAAAAATATATAAATATTACTTACTAAAACTTGAAGCCAATTTGGATTTACATTCTTTAGCTATAGTAAAAATATAGTGTATAGTAAAAGCAAATAACTTTTAATACTTAAAGATATTTTTAAATTTAAATTTTAAGAAATAGTTAAAATTATTTTTACCTTCTCTTCTGCCTGAAGAGAAGGTAAAAATAATGTAAAAATAATAATAACGTACTTTTCAATAAAATGTGCACATTCTGTGACGGAACCAGTTATGTTTAGATCCACACATCAAGAGGCAAGCCTATTTTTGACTACATGCGGTACATGCTACTGAGAATTTTCTGACAAGTTGGGCCAAATGGTTGTGGTTTTTTTATAAGGATCTTATGCTTATGCTGTGAGACCACCAAGGCAATTATGAATAATAACATTAAAAATTGTATTAGGATAACTTAACATGGGAATATGAACCTCTTTTAATATTCTCATAACTAATGTGCTAAAAGCAGTAATGCTGTTATTATACTAGATATGTGAGATGTGTATGAGACTACTAATTACATTAACCATACAGATGTTATTAGTAGTGCTGAATCCCATATATGATATTGAACATACAGTTTGACATAAACATTAAATTAACGACTCTTCTGGTAAAAGTAATTTGGAAAACAATATAATCCACACAAAAATATTTTCATAATAAGTAAATAATAAGCTAATTTATATTTATATGTTACAGGTACAAAGAAAGTAACAACTTAAAGCAAAAAATTACATAATTAAGAAGTAAAATTAGTAGACTAAGAAAAAGAAGTAAGAATTACAAAAAGAAACAGCAAATACCCAGAAAATATATTGAAAACCATGAAGAACACGAGTGTTTTAACTAAAATGTATATTCAAAATAAGAAACTCTAAAATATTCCAAAGGGACCGGCTGAAATGATGTTTGGGCGATACAACAATGAATATTATTTTGTAAAGTCGGTACCGATCGATCAATCTAATTTAATGTGGGAAATAGTTGTAAGATCAGTGTAAAAATGTTATTTTAACAATCATAGATATAATAAAAGCAAGAAATAAATAACATTGTTTTACTTTCACATGTAATTGCTACTTCATACTTAATATACTTTAAGTTCTTCATAATTATAAACGTATATCTATTAATGTAGCTATATATTTTATTTATATAAAAGTTACATTTAATAAGTTCACAATTTCGTGATGAATGCCTTATCAGTATGGCATTCTTCATTAAATTGTGAACTTATTAAATGTTACTATTATATAAATAAATTATATAGCTACATTAATAGATATACGTATATACATCATATAGGTATATATAGGTATACACCGAATCTTTCGGAACAAGAAATATAGATGTCGCTAGCCCGCGATGTTGACCAAAATAATATGGGAGATGGCTCTCTATTTCTGTAGTATTACTTTACTCTATGCAGGTAACTGATTCGTGAGATGCGCGGTCGCAGCCGATCGACGGCCGAGCCACCGAATGACGTCACACAGACCGGTTCTTGGTTTACAATAGGCTAAACGGCCGCGGTGTGCAATAATATATATAATAAATTTAAGTGTGCCGTGTTGTATGTTTGTATGAATAATATTTGTTTAAGTTGTTGTGTAAGAATTATAATATATATGTGTGTATGTGGGAATGTGTGTAATATCGTATGAGTGAGTGGTATGTAAGGAAGTCCCCACACTAACAATTAACACACCTGTACAGCAACTGGCTTTAAACGATAACAATTCTAATACTTCTGCTTCTACAGATCAGATTGGCGACTCTGCTACAACCTCGAGACAAAATGTTGCCGTTGTTCATCAACCGAAAAAAATCTTTCAGGAATGTAATAGGCACGTGAAGACACATTTGATGTCTAAAATAACTCCATACGATGTTGCAGGTCTTTTCAATAAAGCATACGTACAAGTTGCGAATATAAGTAAAGCTGAATCTGGATTTCGAGCCACGGGAATTTATCCATTGAACCCGAATGTTTTTACTGATTAGGATTTGTTCATACATTGCTGTTTGTCATAACTACTCATTTATTCAATAAAAGAAAAAAAAATCCTCATCGATCGTCACGCTCAAAAGTGTAACTTGAATAATATCGAAGAAAAAAAATACTGCATAAATGAAAAATAAATAAATAATTATAATTGCACAAGTTGATAAAAAATGCTATGCAATAGCTTTACCGCGGCTATCCCCGAGTGCTACAGTTAGTTTTCATTAATTATTTCCTTAACAAGAAATCCAAAATGAATTACTTGTAATTACTAAAATTTAAAAAGTTCTGGAATACGAAATTTCTTTCACTCTACACTAATAATTTAAAATAAAATCACATACGTCATTCCTAGCGTTCAAGACGGATCTTTGATATTTAAGACGTCAACCTCCTGATAGAAACAATGATCTGCGGAAGATTTGCTAACTTTCTCGGTTTGCCTACCTTTCGAAGAGTTAGTACAATCATTCCCCTTTTGGATAATTTTTTTTGTATTTTTTTTTGTATATTTTTTTTTATAACTTGTCATTATAATTATTATTTTTTTACTGAATGGCTATGATTTTTTTTATTGGCCCGAAACGGAGGCTTCATTGACCGAAAAGAGGACGAAGGTGGGCCCCGCTACAAACGCCATTTTGAGTTGGCCTCATCACCGAGCAGGGGCCGCAAAATAGTTAGGTAAGTTTTTAAACACAGGAGACTCAAGTAAGTCAACCTGGGGCGAGGGCCTATTCCCAACCCCCCAGGTCACCATCTATTAATAATACCACACCAACTAGTACCCTCAGTATGTCCCCGGACAGAAGGTCGAATAGGGACCTGGAGATGGAAGAGTACGGGGGAGAATCTGCGTGGACGGACGCCACGTCCTACGCGACATTCGCAAACGAGGGCGCGAACCAAGGCGCCCGCACAACATCCATTAGTAAAGAGCCGCAGCCATCAACATCATATGCTGCGGCCATAATCAAACCACCATCTCCTAACTCTCAAAGGAGAACAAGTTTGCCAAAAGTAGCAACACCGGCCAAAGAAATGTCCACACAGGGAGGCACTAGAAAGGGCTACCCTCCAATAATGAACAAAACACTTTAAAACGCTGCAACAACAACCAGGACACGCCCCAAACGCAAGGCCATACAGAACCGGCTTCCGATTTTTACCGCAAACACCACAGGAGTATAGGGTGGTACAGAGGTATTTACTTAATCTGTCTAAGACCACGGAAATTTCCTGGTATTGCTACACCCCAGCCAGTGAACTCCCAACAAAGGTGGGAATCAAAGGACTGCCAGAAAATACCGACACCGAAGAGATCGTGGAGACCCTAACAAACATGGGCTTCCCGGTAAAATTTGTTAAACTCATCCCCAGACAAAGGCAGCGGCCCGGATGTTTATTTTTCGTCCAATTGGAACACTTAAATGAGCAAGATCTCGCCCGGCTATACGCAATAGATGAATTGCTGAGTATGCCGGGCGCTGAAATCTTTTATTGGAAGGGACGAACCGGCCCCTCCCAATGCCATCGCTGTCAATCTTACGGGCATTTATCGGCAGCTTGCTATAAGCCAGTACGATGCGTCAAGTGCGCGGGTGGGCACATTGCATCCCACTACCGCAGGAGGCCCAAGTGAAGTGCGCCAACTGCGGACGAAACCATACGGCGAACGACCGACGTTGCCCCGTTTTCAAAAAGGAAGCTAGAAAACGGGACATACAACTCAATGCACCCACACCAGATCCGCCGAGGAATTGGAATACGGACGGATGGACGACGGTAGGCAGGCGCGGAAACGCGCGCGGCACAGTACAGCGCGGGGAACAACACCCCCCGCCCCCGCACCGCCACTCGTACGGGCGACCATCGGGCGACGAGACAGCGCGGCGCCACAAGCGACCGCCCATCCACCGCGCCCCACCCCAAGACAGCCCGTTGCCGCGCAACCGCGCGAAAGAGACATAATATTGTACCACTCGATGGGCTTGGGCCCGGCGCACTACCATGACTTGGTCTCCTCGGAAACAAATTACCAGGAGCTTAAAAGATTCGCGAATGAATGGAACCGAAGGCGGACTCAGTGGGAAGTTGCAGCGTCAGGCAGCGAGTCGTCGTTACCGGTGCCGTCAAGCCCCATATGGGGAGAGTTGACTCAGGGACGCGCGGAGCCTCGCGGCCAGACCGCACGCACTCTCCCGCGATTCGGCCCATATAACCGCAAGGTTGGTGGGGCCATGGGAGTTGGAGGGTTGTACCACTCGATCACGATCCGCAACGCACTGAACGACGAATTCATCCGCGACGGACGCAAAACCTCATCCGCGTGCGGACGGTCCGCGTCGTACTGCATAGGGCCTAACTGGAATATAGCGCCTACATAAGTTTTTTTTGGTCTGTCTTCACCCGGATTCATCCCGAAAGTTGCGTAATATTATATTGAAGTATCGAGTCATCGTGGTGTCGTGGCCGCGCCCATCAACGTGGCGCGCAAATACCTACTTAGGCGAAACGGATAAAGGCAGAAGAAACTCTAGTCCAGTCATCAAGATCAAAACATCCAATTGATTTAGAGATTCAAGAAGCCATATTCTCCATAAGACACAAGCATTCAGAAAATAATTTAAAGCATTATCCAGAATATTTACAGGGAAAAAGGTTATTTTGTGAATTTTTATATTTTCCAAATTATTCCTTATTTCTCAACTCAACTCAATTTTGCTTACTCATTAAGTTATCCAAAATTCATAGTAAGTTATTCTATAATATTGTTATGAACACACAAAGGAACTAACGCCATCTAGCGTCAACTAGTAAAACCACTAAATAACAAAGACGACATAAAACCCCCTATTCAATACGAGATGGCGTTAGAGGAACTACTGTGGAACTATAGTCTCGAAAACCGGGTACTTTCTCGAACTTTCCGGAATCACGATCATGTTCGCGCGTGTCGGGTACGTTCCAGAAAGGAACTTTCTGGAATAGTCTGGGGTTCGTCTCGGCCCATATAAAAAGCCGCGGAGAGGCGAGACGACACAGTTCAGTTTGAGCTACCTTCGAGGCGACTTCGGAGTGAAAACTAGTGATCAAACGCGATACCAGTGAAACCTACGACTTGGCTACAAAATAGGACATTGTTAGTGCTTAGTGTTTGGACCTAGTGCTTTGTGTTGGACCTAGTTCTATTGAATAAAGTCTTCAAAAGAGTCAGCAGGTCTTTCTCTCCAAATCCTTCGAACCCCTAACACGTAACAATATAATTTCATATCCATACAATATATTTAATCATTTCATTGTCAATTTACGCATTATCCTAAATTATTTTGTACAAACTATTCATTGTCAAACTATTCATTGCATAATTTCAACACTTATTAAAACAACTACCAATCAAATTAACTTTAAGTCTTAGTAAAGACAACTAAGACTACTTCAAAGGTTTAGTTTTGAGAACTAAATTTCGTTTGTATCAGCAGTTGTTCATATCACTTGGTATTCCTTTATTACCGTAATATACTCATGCACGCTGGACCACAGCTTCTCCGAACTACAATTCGTCAGAAATTTGGATCGTTGGTGGACGTAATCTTGCTAGAAAAATAGTTAACGATTGCGTAACATGTCGTAGGTTTGCTGGAAAAATAACGCAACCAATTAAAGGTAATTTACCCGAACACAGACTTTCGATTCAATATCCGTTTTATAATATCGCTGTTGATTACGGCGGGCCAGTTATGATATTGAACAGAAAAGGTAGAGGCAGTCAGTTAATAAAATCCTACATTTATATTTTTGTTTTCTTGGGTATGCGAGCAGTACATGGAGATTTAGTTTTAGAGCTTACAACTGAAAGTTTCTTAGCAGCATTACATAGATTCATTGGTCGCAAAGGTAGACCGCTTAATATTTACTCTGACAATGGTAAAAACTTTGTTGGAGCTTTTAATGAATTATCTAAATTTTTACATTCTTAACAACCTGAAATACAAGCCTGTGTAGCAGAGAATCGCATAAGTTTTCATTTTTCCCCTGCATATAATCCTCATTTCAATTTCAAACATACGAGGAGATGAACACATTGCTGATACAAATCGAGGCGGAATTAAACTTTAGACCTCGCACCCCACTGTCGTCAGATTCCTCGTATCTCATAGCTATTTAACCCCATCTCATTTTCTCATTGGACGAACGATCACTATGTTGCCTACACCTCATGTTGAAAATACTGAAATTAATAGCCTTACAAGATATAAAAGTATTCAATATTTAATTTCTGGAATAGATTTTATAAGGAATATATTTCAGAACTACAGAAACGCACAAAATGGCAACAACAGCAGGTGGCGCTTCAGCTCGGGCAGATGGTGCTCGTCAAGGAAGAACGTTCAGACCGGTAGCCACTAGGACGCATCACACGTCTGTATCCAGGCTCCGAATGCCCCGCACGAGTCGTAGACGTGCTCATTTCGTCAGGAGAGCTTTCAACCGACTCATCCCTCTACCAATATTGGAACAGGGTGTTCAAAGGCGGGTAGTATGTTGAAGATTTGTATGTGTGCTATGGTCTACACGTACACTCACACACACACACACACGGACAGCGAGAGCATCGGGCGGTCATTCTGGTTTCGTTCGTCATATCGTTAACATTGTACATTTTCAATACAATTTTGTAAGAAACAAGTTTAAAGTAATCTTGAGTCTAACTGGAATATAGCGTCTACAGACCAAGTTTTTTTTTATTTATGTGAGACAGTGGCAAATGAGCTGGCGGTTCACCTGATGTTAAGTGATAATCGAATAAGGTAAAGCGGCCAGCTGACCGCTTTCCCCTTATCAAAAATATTATGGTTAGGTAATGCTTCATTATTTTGTTTAGATAGTGAACAATTATAAGAGAAAAACCAACCAGGCATCATGGGATGAAAATCTTATGGCACGGGCGATCAAAGAGATAGATGATAAGCGTGGATCTATTAAGTCTATCGCACTTAAGTATAATAACCCTCGCACTACTCTAAGAAGAGACATTGTGACAGGATCTGCCAAAAAGAAACTTGGCAGATATAAAACCGTTTTTACTCCACAGCAGAAAGAAGAACTCTTACAGTACGTATTGCATATGGATAAACTTTTCTTTGGACTGTAATTGAGAAGCACCAAATTGATGCTATGGGAGTCTATAATATGGACGAAACGGGTATTCAAACATCTTCCAACAAACCACCTAGAGTTTTAACAAGACTGGGTAAAAAGCAAGTGGGTTTCATTGCCAGTACTGAGCGAGGAAGAACGACAACAGTTATTTGTTGCTGTAACGCTGCGGGATCCTTCCTACCAGCCTTAATGATTTTTGCACGGAAAAGAATGGCCCCGCACCTAGATGGAGGGCCACCTGACACACAGACAACTGTGATATTGGATGGACCAATGGCACTGTTTTCTTGGAGTGGCTTCGTTTCTTCATAGACACAGTCCGCCTGACGGCAGAAAAAAAGTACTGCTTATCATTGATAATCATGACTCTCATACATACTTACCAGCCTTAGAACTCGCCTCCAAGTATGTCATATTTGTATCATTGGTACCACACACTACACACAGGATGCAACCATTAAATTGATGTGTTTATGGGTCATTAAAGACATATTTTGAACGTAGTATAGCGACTTTCTAGAAAATAAATGTGGGTCGCATAATCAATCAAAAAGATGTCGCCAGTTCGTTCCGTGCTGCCTATTTGCGAGCTGCAACAACTCAGAATGCTGCAGGCTCTATTGGGACCGGTCCATCATCACGGACAGGACGATTGTCGCGAACAAACCTGATATCGTGTTGATGGACCGGGCACAGTCGCGGGTATTTTTGGTCGACATTACCATTCCATATGACGAGAACCTCGTGAAAGCTGAAACAGATAAGAAGACGAAGTATCTGGACCTGGCTCACGAGGTGACCGACATGTGGGGTGGTGTGCCGACCGAAATTATCCCGATAGTCGTGTCTGCCAATGGGTTGATCCCAGTCAGCCTCTCCGGACATCTGAGGCGACTGGGACTCCGGGACGGAGCGCTCCAAGCTCTAATGCATAAAGCGGTGCTCCTCGATACCGCCCGCATCGTCCGCCGGGTTCTCTCCCTTTCACCCTAACCCTCGGCCGTTTGGTCTCCCCTGCCGAGGGCTTCCGTCTGGTTGGGTCCTATTTATATATGTATTATATACAATATTTTTTATCTATATGTTTATTTTTATCCATAATATTTATTTTATATATGCAATATATATCTATATTTTTATTTTTATCTATAAACCCAACCAGACGAGAAAACAAATGAATATCCCCTTATAATAATAATAATAAAATATTTATTTCTCACCACAACTAATAGCTTAAAATAATATATTATTTGTTTACACTTTCGTTCCACTTCAAAGGATATATTAATTTATTAGTTGTGGATCGCTGGTGCCTGCAGTAGGTATTGAAAAAACCCGTAAATACAGGACACCAGTTCACCACCCCATAGTATCATTAATTGGAAAACAAGAGTAACAAATACTAACATATAAAACGGTATATAATAATTAAAGAATGTAGTGTGTGTGTGTGTGTGTGTGTGTGTGATAGAGAGAAAGAGTGTGTGGGATCAATTAAATTCAGTGGTCAGAAAGGAATGTGTTGTGCATTTGTAAAAACGAAAATTACAACGGTACAAATGAAACTAATTTTACGGATTTATCGCGTTTATTTTTAATTTTAGTTCCCGACGTTTCGAACCCTTTACAGCGTTCATGGTCACGGGACAGACTGAGGTGTTAGACGTCTGATTGTCAAAGTTAACCCGGGCTACCGTCAGTTTTTGTATTATTGATTTTGTGTCCGATCTATGCAGAGGGAGCTAATTGTATCTTGTCTTGCAGTAGTGGTTCTTTTGGGCTTAGATTTAATTTTATTGATGATAGGATCCCAAGCTGATGGTAGTACCCAACCGGCTGTGCTTTAGTTTACGGTCGCACGATTTTCGTGATAATTTTAATTTTAATAGGTAGGTTTATATTTTATAGGTAGGTCATTGAAGTAAATGCTAGAAGGATTTTCTGCGGAAACTTATAGTTTTCGAGAAATTAATTTTTTAAGTTTTATAGGTTAACTACTAGGAATCGTATAGAACAGTATTGTTTTGGCTTTCGGCCCTTGACATTTACATAATGACATTCTAAAGCATTAGAAAGAGACAACATAATGGTTGCATCTCCTTTTACCGCGTGTTATTTCAGACCTAAAAATTTTTTTGGCTGTATATGGTAAATCTTTGCTTTAAAAAAAAAAAAGGAAACACTGGCTGTCAATGTTATATGATAGAATTGTTCATTCCAT